TCTATCTCCTTTAGCTTTTTGCATGCTTATACATACATATGTGCACACACATAGAGTACACACATGCAAAGCTATTGTTAAAGGAAATGACATATTAGGGAACGCCCTATTTGGGGTTTAACTAAGATAAATAAATACATAAATACATAAGTAAATAAATAAATAAAACTGGGAACATCTGAGTTCATACTGGTTCAGTTTCCACAGTTACAGCAGTTAGAAACATCTCACCTCTCTGACGGTGGAGATCCAGGAGATTTAAAGAAAATGAACTCTTCCTTTGACCTGTTACTCTTAAAGGAGACACAGCTGGGTTCTGGTTCTGGTTCTGGTTTGAGTCCCTGATGGATCCTGACAGAAACATGATGATTAAAACTTAATCAGCAAAGAGGAGCAGCAGCAGCTTCATCACCACGTCTGTTCTGGCCTGATATAGTGAACGCTGTGTGAAAAGGGCTGTGGACAGTTAGAGATGGTGACCTCACCTCTGACCTTTGCTCTGGCTCTCATCTTCCCCACACAGAGTGGTTTTAGAGGGAGGGACTCCCTCCTCTCTGTCCTCACACTGATCCATGCTGCTGAATCCACATCAGCTCACACACACTTTCTAGCTTCACCTGCAGAGGAAACACACATCATTCATCTGCACATCAACTCTGATCATCCTTTACATCATTAGTGCTGGAAAAAGATCAGCTGCTCCTCCTCTGATTGGCTCTTCTTCTCTGCTTCATATCAGTGTCAGGTGAATGCAGTCAGACAGCAGAGAGGCAGAGGAAGCTGCCATCAGCTGCTGCACTTCTACTATCAGTCCACTAGATGGAGACATGGAGCAACATTTACATTCACTCATTCAACCTGAACAATAGGAAATATTTCAGTTAATGATTAATCTCTACAAGTAGATTATCAGCTGCATTAAATGTTAACTATTTAATAATTTGACTGAATCAATAATAATATTTAATAATATTTGATTTTGAAAGGAAGCAACAGGAAACTGTTGCTGACATTAATGGTGGAGACCAGAGTTCAGTACCAGGAAATAAAAACATGAATCAGTTCGGAGAAGAAAACAGTGAAACATCAGCTGTTCATCATGTTGATTGATTCCAGTTCATCAATAATCTAATAATTCTGCAGATTAGCCTTCGAACAGCAGATATTAAAGTTTCAGCTGAAATCAGAAGTGAAACTTTTCTCCAAACATCAGAGATTAGAAATAATCTGGAAAAAAAATCAATAAATAAACAAATTAAACTTACAGTTTGTTCAAAATATCCAAAGAGTTAAAGAAGAAAATTTAAACAACAGACTGAAACCCGACAAACGGACTGGAGCCACACCTGTACAGGTGAATCCAAACCGAAAGTAAATGTGTAGGATGTTGCATAACTGATGACGTCACAGCTCACCTGACTTGTAGTTTTTTCCTCCAGAGCAACAGAACCAGGAAGTAGAAGCTCTGAGGTGAAATCAGAGGCAGGTTGATAAAATCTTCATGAGGAAGAAGAGAAATTATGATAAAATGAAGGTGTACTTACTTTTGATCATTACTGTAGTGATGATTGATAGTAACAGAAAATACTAACAGTATTTCAGTTCATTCATCATGTCATAAAGAAAAAGTTGGGAAAATGCATTTTTCAAACAAATATTTTCATCATGTCATCCAAACGTTCATTATAAACTAAATATTTAATTCACAATCTAAATATTTACTTGGATTGTAAACAAAATTTCTGGAAATCAAACTTTAGCTAAATATTTGGCTTCAAAATAAATATTTATTTTACAAACTAAACATTTAATTTTCAAATTCAGTATTTATTTTCCAAACTACATATTTAATGATCTTTTTCATGTCTAGTTGTTCAGTCAGACGCTCCATCATGTTGTCATGTTTCAGTTTTTCTTCATTCAGCAACAGTTGGTGAACTGGGTTTAATCCAGTTTAGTCTAATTGTCTTTCTTGCTACCAGCAGCAGAAGGTGCAACAATATGTAACATTGATGTTTAGTGAGTAAATCCTTGGTGTTTATGTCCAGCAGAAACAGAAGAGGCTCCATGGGGAGATCTGTCCTCAGAATGTCCTCAATCTCCTGGTTCATTTCCTCCCAGAAAGTCTTTATTTGTGGTCAGAACCAGAAGACGTGTGTGATGACCGACCATTCAACACATTCCTCCAACATCCATCTGTGGTTGGAATCCTGGAAATGAACGTTGTGAAAGGAGTAACACTTTATTTGACACAGTGTGTTCTATTAAATCTGGTTTTTACTTTCCAGTCAAACTCTTTGCACGTTTGATTTCCAATCCTTTTATGGCACAAAAATGCAAATGAGAAAAACTCCACTTCTTGTTTTATCAATCTCCAGTTCAATCCAGTAAATTGATTAACTCAATTTTCCAAACAATCCACAATGGAGACCCCAAACTGGACCATATTGATAGTTTTGACCTCATTCCTCTTCAGAGATACCACTGCAAACTCGTATAAATGGCTCCTCAGAATGACCAGTGGGACGCTCTGCTGGATGGAGACTGAACTACAACACTAAAAGAAGTTTTAAATTCACTGTTCAGTTTAGCTAATTGGACAAATTTTATTCTGTAAGATAATAAATTGCATGGTTACACAAAACCAATAAAAGGTAATTATTGCCACATTATGGAGTAATCAATCATGGTGAATATCTGCCACAAATTCATTCTTGAACAAGATGGCTTTTCCCAGAAGACAGTATTACATTTTAATAAAAAGTGGAGTGGAAAGAAAAACTGGTGAAATAAAAGATGCACATATGAAATTCACCATTTCTGGAACAATGACATTCCAACATATATGAAGTAGATTTGCTTTAAAGAAAAAAATGTTTTATTTGCATCATACAGTCTTCTTTTACGTATCACATAAATGTAATTGTATCATAGTCAAGATGTTTTTGGTGCAGCTGCAGAGGGTGTACAAACTAACTGAACAAGATGCGTCTGCTGAAGTTTCCCAGGCGGGTCGTCTGGGAACTTAATCTTCTCCTCTGTTAGCTGAGAGGTGAATAAAGCAACTATGTAACTCTGAGTTCGTTAGAGCAGATTTAGATTTTCGCCTAATGCAGAGTATATTTTTCCCTCTGTCTGCAGATGTATTAAAGATTGTTTTTGCTCCCTGAACTTGGACTAGAATTGTGCACTTCACACATATTAAGATGAACTTTTATGGTTAGTTTCACAATGGAAATCTGAGTTGATTTCATCTGAACATTAATTCAATCTGGAGAGACTTAGACGGAGAAAATGGAAACCATTAGAAGAGTTTATTGACAGACAAAATTTAAGTCTTTGGGGCGTGGGCCCCGGCTGAGGACATCGATCATCACAATCTTTGCGATGAGCTTGGGTGAGCATTCCGTATGCTGAAAGGAACGTCATCCCCCGAGACGAGACATTGGTGATGGAGGTGAAGAAAGGATGCAGCCGGAGCCGAGTGAGTGGAGGTGAAGGGGTGGAGGAGGGTTGAGCTCTGCTGGAAAGCAGAAGACGCCATGGACGGTGCTATTTATCAGCTGGGACTTGGACAGTGATTGGACGTGACACGTCTTGGACCAGCGTTGATTAATCAATGGTGATGAACAGGAAGCAACGGTTGGATGATGCAGGTGGGGTTAGAAGAGACTTCCAGTTTGAATTTGCACCTTTTTCCTCACAAAGTGCAATAAGATCTATTATAAATTTGCCCAGTATAAAAACACTGATTTCACTGTGAAAATTACGTTTTTAGTCTGTAGTGAAATAAAAGACATTTCCATACAAGTCTTAAATACTTTATACAAAATATTGAGTGGAAATCATACACAGTGAGACAGATTTAAAGAGACGTGACAGTCCAATGAAAACTCCTAATAAATGCAGTGATTTATGGTCAAAAGTTACAAAAATGTGCAATAATTAAAAAAACCTAAAGTGAAAACTTAACTTGGCACAAGGAAATATTTGCTCCCATCAACAGAAACATTGAATTACTGAGGGAAGTTAAGAGGCTGGATCTGTAGTTTAATTTCATCCATTAAAAAGCTGCTGAAACAAAAGAGCTCAAATAAATCGCTGTCTACAGAAAATACAAAGAAATGGTAAATAAAAAACATGGGATTGATACTCAGCATGACAGATTACAGCTTACATAAAATCACTAAAATGAAAAATACAAAGTTAAGGACATCAATCTGGAGAAACAAGATGCAAATTATAACGATTACAAGGTAAAGAGATTAAAAATAAACATCATTTTTATAATTAAGGCCACTCGTATGAAGAGCGGAATAAAAAACAAAAAAGGAGAGAAATGTAAACTTGTAATTATTCTAACTCAAGTCCTGCTGTGCAACTCAGTTTGTAACAAAACCCAAAAAACTCAAAAATGTCAAAAAATGGAGCAGAAATCAGATCAAATCTTTAAAAGGGAAATAAATATACAAAAATATAAATAAAATGGCCATGACATGCAGAAAACAGAGAAATAAAAATTACTCCCAATAGAGGATGAAATGAAGCGATGAGTTAAATTCAAACATTTTTCATGTGAAAACGAGGATTAGCATCGTTTCTGCATGACAAGGCATTTTCCTGCTCAAACTGTTAGAAAACAAATTGTGATTTGTAGTTTTTCTTTGCTAAGTGAAGTGAAATATTTGACTTGTGTTCATTAAAAACAGGGATTTCTTTCCTTTTACATGAACACACATTCACAGCTTGCAGAGTGTAAGGCTTGAACCACTTGGCCACACTTTGGGAGGGGTGGGTTGGATTTATTGCACAAGAACACTCGGGGCGGGTGGGTTCTTATTCGGCCCTTTGACAGGTTCTGGATGGGTTCTGTCTCCTCAGTAGAGGCGGACGAGATTTAAAAAAATGTGAAGTTGAAGAACACTGGAAGCTGGTGAGGTTTTACACAGCAGCCAAGACAGGTCAGAGGTCAAAGCAGTGCCACTGCATCAAGCAGAGCCTCATCTTCCCTCCTCTGCTGATCGGGTCTCGGACTTGAGCCGGACGAACTCCTTGGCGACGTCGTCGTTGGAGCGCTGGGAGAGGATCCGCATGGCGGTCAGGCCCGTGTCGTCCATGGAGATGCGCTGCCCCAGGGGGCACCAGCAGGCGCAGTTGCCCCTCTCCATGATGTCCCTCAGCTGCACCACGGCCAGGCCCACCACCCGGTCGGCGCGGCCGAAGCAGTAGTCCTTGACGCAGGCTTGAACCTCGTAGCACTCGAACCCGTCCTGAACACCCAAACGCTGCAGAGCGAGAGCAGAACACAGGAGTGGGAGCACATGGGCTAGGGCGCTAATTGCAGAGCTAATTCCTGATTTGTGCTTTTTCTGAAACTTTAAAAACATTCGTACACCTAGATGTTGATTATCTAATTTTCCATTTTAAATCAAAACATTTTACTTTGATTTGAGGTCCACATCTGCAGTGGTAGATTACACTATTGCTAATCTGCTAATGTGCTAATAGCAGAACAAATTTGTTGTGCAACACATTTTGATTCCCCTAAATCAGTTTTCAAGTTAAATTCTAAAGCACTAATGTACTTTTGCTGTTTTCTACACTTTCAGTTGAATAAAGTTTGACATCTGCTGTAGAAGGGACACTTCCATTAGCTGCTAATGTGCTAATAGTAGAGCTAATTTTAGCTTTTTTAAAATAACTTTTAAAACTAATGCCACACAATTAATTTCTTAAAATAAATCCAGATTTTATTTGGAAAAGTTAAATTTGAGGAACTTCACTAAATGTTTAGCAGAAACACTAAATGAACAATTAGCTGTGCTGCTAGCGCATTAGCTGACATTGTCCAGTAATTTCACAAGGACTTTGTTTTGTGTAACCAACAGTTTATGAAGTCAGAATTAAAAGAGCTTCAAATCCTAAATGTGTCACAATGTTTGGTTTTGAACTTACAAGTGAAAGGTCTCGTTGTATTTGGGAGACCAGCTGTTGTTCTTGGATTTGGTCTGAAATCGGCGCTTCTTGTCGCTGAGGTGCGGCCCGATCATTGTGACTTCCACGAAGGGTCTGAACATCCCAGACGTCTGCCACTTCAAATCACTGGCTGCAATCACTGCATCAATGACACAAACATTTAAACAGAAATGACACTAAAATGCTCCAGCTTTGATTTCATTGGTTCAAAATGAGCCCAAACGGACCTTTGAGAGTAACTTTCCGCTCTCCGCTCTTGGGATGAGTGTACAGCTCAATCTGCAGGGAAACCTCTCCGATGGGTTTGTCCACAGCTGAGCCTGGTTTAACACAAACAACATTTGGTCCAATGCAGGCAAAGAAAACCACGTTTTATAGAGTCATGCGACGGAAACGGAGGTTTCACAAAACAGAAGAGAGAAAACGATGAAGGGAAGTTGGGCTGATGATGATTTCATGGAGACCTACCCCTGCTGGGCTGGATTTTCTCATTAGGGGTTAACCTAATACCCTTCCCATTGTGCACTGGCACAGAGGCAGCAGGAGATAAAAACAAGACAGCAACTTAAACAACCAAATCCAGGAGATAAAAGCAGCGAGGAATCTGAAACTCTCCCGTATTTAATCTCCTTTGAGGCGCTTTGGATCTACCCTGTGAATGCTGCGTGGTCACGAAGGTTTTGATGAGCGTGTCGGTGGTCTGGGTGTAGAGCGACAGAGCGTGGCGGAGCGACGAAAGCTCAGCGCTCTTCTCCAGGAAAGTCTTCTTCAAGCCGTTCCCGCCCGCATGAAAGTATTGCTGCGTAGGAAACAAAACGAGAGGAATCAGCGTTCTACAACCTGAATGATTAAACTTAAAGTGGAGTTAATCAGACTTTTAGTTAATCAACTAAAAGACTCTTAAAATGTGAATGAATTGTACTTTTCTGTTTGACCAGAGGTCAACGTTTCGCTCTCACCTTGATGGTATCCAGAGCCACATCCATGACGGCACACTGCCTGGGCGTCAGGCTTTTAGCGTCTCCTGCCATGTGATCCTAAACAACCCAAACCAAGACTTTGACTAGACCAATTCACAGGAGAAAGCAAACTCAAAGGCAACCTGATACCTTCAGTTTGGAAAGGTGTCCCAGTTCTTTAGCAGCAGAAAGGATCTGTGCTCCCTTCAGGAAAAACAGAAAAAATGAATGATTCTTTTAGTTTTCAGAAGCCTTGTTTCAATTTTAAGTATCATATTAGTAAGTTTGATGGAGATGGAAAAAAAGCATCGATACAACTCATGTTCAGACATAAAGTGATTTATTTATCTGCTCTATATGTGATTGGATGATGTTCAGTTTGTTGATTAATAATTAAACTGAATATGCCACAGTCATCATTTTAAAACATAATGGATAAAAATATTTTTGTGTTTGGTCACGTCTGTCAAAATGTTTTACATCTCATCATCTGACACAATTACAAGTTGATCCATTTCAAAATGGCAGCCATGTTTCCATCCAGCTGTGATTCAAATTTTGAACAAATTTTTATAATAATGTATAAAAGAAAATGCAAATTACACTGCAAAACCATAAACTTTTACCAAGTATTTTTGCTCTAGTTTCTAGTGCAAATTTGACGAATGTGAATTACAACATTTAACTTTTCTTTTGGGATCAATAAAGTATGTTTGAATTTGAATTTAAAAATATCTCAGCACATTTTAAATAAGACAAAAATAACTTAGTAGTAACTTATCACAAGAAGAAGCTTGTTTTAAGTCGATAATTCCTTAATATTGATAAAAAAAAGTAGTTGGCAGATTATTTAATTTAAGGGAAAATGATTTGTTTATAAGTGAAATAATCTGTCCTACACAAAATAAGTTCATTATATTTATTTTGCACAAAATTGATATATAATAAGATGTTAGTCTGGTTATTATATATCTTATAATATTGCAAAAATATCTTGATTTAGGTGAAATAATCAAATTTTGTCAGCAATATTAAGAAATTATTGACTTAAAACAAGCTTCTATTTCTTGCTGAAAAGCTACTTGTGAGTTAGTTTTCTCATTTTTCTGCTGTTCTAAGATAGTTTCACTGACAACTAGATCAAAAATATTTGGTAAGATTGTGTTTTAATTCACACTTTTTGACAACATTTCAAAACCATCTGGATGGAAACCTGTCCAGTGACGGAGACGAGCGTCAGACTCACCAAGGTGTCGTTCCCTTGCGGCAGGACGATGTTCTTCTCCAGGCTGGTCATCACGATCCTCCACAGCTCCTTCAGAACGCGCTTCAGGACGGTTTTCTCACACACCGTGGCGAACAGCGTTAATCTGCAAAAACAAGACGTTCACACACACGCCGACGGACGAGCCGTGTTTGGGGAAATCCCACTGAACCCACTGCGCATCCAGGAAGTCCATGAGCGGCCGCAGCATGTTGTCCGAGTCGCCCTCCACCTGGTTCTTGGTGTTTTTCGTTGAGCGGTCCTTTGATCTGGTACAGCAGCGACGCCATCTGCCGCATGCAGTCGGTGATGCGGCTCTGGAAGCTGCAGGAGAAGAAAAGCCAGTGATGCACTGGGACAAAGTGGGGGAAACGTGGGGGTGTGAGGGCGGCGTACCTGTTCCCAAACGTGCTGCTGAGGTCGTCCAGACGTTGTTGAGCGAACCTGCAGGTCGTTGAGCAGGTCGCTGGCCTCCGTGTCCATCTGGAGGAGAGAAACCTTCAAGTTCAAAAGGCTGACAAAAGGTTTTAGAGAAAGAAAAAGGGAAATAAAACTGGGAAGTTTTGGGATTTTACTGAGACTCAGAACCTGGAAGCTAAATTACTTCTAAAGCTGAATTATTACAAAACACCTGAGAGTCTACGGTTGCATTACGAGTCCGTTAAACACCTTGTTGGTGTAGTTTGCATTTCTACTCATAATAACATGCATGTTACAGTTCACCTCCTGTAACACGCATGAACTCACCTCATGATCCTCACATGCTTTTCTCTCTATGTGGCAGAAAGTTGGGAGGTAAAACAAGACATTTTGGATGAAATGCCCCATTTTGACACTCATCAAGTGGAAATTGCTTATTAAGAATCTAATTTAGGATATTCTGCTTGTGCCTACCTTCTCAAACGGTTCGTCCATCTTTGAGTCAGAAAATTGTTAGAGATATAAAAAACACAAACAGTGTCAAACTGTCCTGAAGAGGTGGAGGAGCTGTATAAATCCAAATGATTTCTGGACTTTTGGTGAATATTAAGGTGATTTAATCCCAGATAACATGTTTAACCCACCTCATCCTTCTCAGTCTATCACACATGGTTTAGAAAAGGAACAAAATAAAGTGTTAAAATAAAAAAATACAGTTGAAGGTGATGTGAAAGTGGCGCTTTTATGGGAAATAAGGGAAAATGCTGCTAATCTAAAGAGGAAATCCTCACAGATGAGAATCAACCAACAACAAAACTCCACCATGTTGGATGTTTTAGTTTCAGTTTGGGGAAAATCTTTGAAAATGACTTTGGATTTGGAGAATGAAGGATGTTAAAAGCCACTTTCAACTGCAACAAACCTCTGCCTCCATTTCCTCCCCTTCCTCTTTAACTTCCTTCTCTTCCTCACTTCCTTCAAACTAGGAGTTGCAGTAAAGAGGCAACAAAGGTTTTGTCTTGTTGCTTCATTCAGATAATTGTGCAGTGGTTTTTTCAAAGTTATTTTTAAGGCGTATATGCAGTCATGTTTTACATGTTTGCATATGCAGTGGACTTGCCTGCCATGCTAGCGCGCTGTTCTTCAGCTAGAAAAGCAGAGAAAAGGTAGAGAATGTCTTTCTCCAGCCACAATTACAAGACTGACTTTATATTGAGTTAAAACGTGGATACTATCAGAGAAAAACAAAATATTACCATTTATTTTTGGTCTAGTTTATTGTTCAAGTACATTTGGACACTTAAAATAAGACAAAACTAATTTACAAGTAACTTTTTAGAAACATATTTGAGCTTGGAGGGAGTTTGAGATGCATTAAGTCTTAGAATATTCTTCTTAAAAAGGAAAACCTGCAGATTTGTCTGCACAAAAACTTTTGAATTTCATATTAAAATGTTAATTTAACAGGGTGATTCGTATTTTCCAGGCAGCCTTAATTTTCTTTTATATGATTTCAACATGGTGCATTTCCTAACAATCAATAACAAATCAAATTGATATGATGTCAAAACTGGAATCTATCACTAATTTGAACACTTGACCCTCAACATCAATGTTGGAGAAACATTATCGTCATTGATAATGTAATAACAGCAATAGTTTACAACAACACTATTAAATAATAGTGTTGTTGTAATTTCAAGGCTGCTGTTTCTCTGTCAGATTCCCTCAGGTCTCCACAGCAGACAGATGGATCACGGCGCTCTTCCTCCACCTCCTCGCCGCGCCCCATCCTCATCCTCCACCACCTCCACCGAGTTCTGATGGGTCGGTTCAGATCCTCTCTGGAGATCAGACACCAGAACAGAGGCGGATCAGAACCAAAGCCAGCAGCTCTGCTGAAGCTCAGGAGAACTCTGAGTCCAGATGTGGACCCTGGTCTCCTCCAGAACCTCCTCTGTTCTGCTGTGGAGGAACTGTGTGGATCCAGTTCTGCAGCAGGACCTTCTCAGCTGCAGCAGAAGAAGAAAGGACTTCCTGTGTTCAGGTTGGATAGAAACCTGGATATTTTCTAGCTTGTGGTTCTGCTTCCAGCGTAGATGTTCTCCAGGGTTCTGATCTGGATCTAGTGGACTGTAGAGCTCATCAGGTTTCCTCTCATCCACTTTGAGATCTTCAGCCTCCTTTAGATTCAACCTGAAGCTTCTTCTGACAGATTTGCAGCTGATATTTAGCATGATGTTTTTATTCTAGCCTCAGTTTTCTGTTCTTCATGTGACTCCACTGAATCCGACTCTGATGTCGTCCACTTCACAAGTGATGAAGATCCTTTTTTCTTCACTTCCTGCTGATTTCTTTCCAAAGCTCCATTTTTTCCAGGAGGATCTTCAATGTTCTCTTTAGATGATGGAGGAACTCAGACTGACTCCACCCGGCTGGTGCTCCAGGTGAGCAGAAACAAACAAACCCTGAAGTCATCCAGCTTTAGATTTGGACCAACTGAAACATCAAGCTTCAGTAACGTCTCAGTTAAAGTTTGTTTCCAGATCTGAGATCAGAAAGTTCTGGAACAAACTGGTTGCTCTCCCAGTTTGATGATGTTTCCAACCTGAATGTTCATCCATTTTTCTTCTCTCAGCCTGGAAAGAAAATCCTCTAAATTATCTGGCTTGATAAAAAACTGTTTTATTAGTAAAATATTGGAATCTTGACTCACTCTTTGTGTATCAGGACTTTCACCTTGCAGTTATTCACCTGAAATGAAGAGGAATTGTTTATTTTTGGTCTAAGAATAAAATGTTTTTGTAAGGATCATGTAATCACATCCTGGAAAATCCTTCAGAGTTTATCTTTGCTCTAAAGTTATGAAAACCCGAAACCTCTCCCTTTTTAACAGAGATCAATAACCAAACACTGATCTTTGCTTAATCTGCCAGTTTGACAAATATAATGAACATCGCTTCAAAATGTGTGTATTTTATTACTTCTGAGTGGGAAAGTGTTTCTGAAATGGAGCAGGAAATACATTTCATAACAGCTGATTTGCATGTGATCAAGGCAAGAAGGCAGCGGTCAACACACACACACCCAGTGGTGTGTTCACACACACTCTGCAGAACTTTGTGTTCATCAGGAGGTCGATTGTTTCAGGTTTGAGCTAAAACAGAAGCAGCAGCACTTCCTCTACAGGAGAAAACACACGAGGTCATGAGGTCAAGCTTTGTGACAGTAAATAAAACACATGAATAATCTCTTGGTTTGCCAAATTATAATAAAACATGATATTTATGTTATGAACAATGAAATTATTTTAGCTTGGATTGGCTCTGAACACATCATAAATCACTGATTCATTATAAAAACTTTGACTAGACTCAGAGTAGACTTATGTAAATATACATGATGAAGTATTTAAATTCAGCATTTCACTGAAAAAGTAATTAAAGTGTAGATACAGGGATAAAGATTAGCATGCTAACCCCTCAGGTTTCCCATCAGCCACTTGGGTTTCAGGATGACCAACATTTTTAAACATGGCTGCTAATTTTGAGCCTTTTAAACCAGATATGGACATTAAATGTTCCCTGTTAGAGATTCAGGTTTTAACTTATGGATCTTTGTCAGTAAATTTGATTTAATTATTGGGGAATAATAAAAAAATTGTCAAGGAATAAACTAAAAATTAGGTTTTTGGAGGTGAAATGATTAATTGTTGAATAAAAATGGAAAATTAATCATGTAGGATTAATTAGATTATTTTATTGTAAAATTTGAAACTGTTACAATTTTACAAAATATCCTTATAAAATAAACAAGTAACTTATTTTAATTTGATCATTTTAGAAACAAAACTTATTTTTAAAGGAATAACATTGAGAGACTGGTGTTTTTAGAATTTGTTATATTTAATGAATAATTACTGGGTATAGCCAGTGAAAACCACTAATTAGGCCCGAGCAGCTAAGCGCTGCGAAGGCCTATTGTTTTCCTACTGTTTCTTATTATTATTATTCTGCCCCCCTAAAGAGGGGCCTTTTTGGGGGCTTTATCATATTCAAAAACACCAAACTTGGCGGACGCGTAAAGGGAGTTTCAAAATTTTGTATTTTAAGGTCATCGCAAAAATCCCATAAGAAATGGCTCAATAGCGCCACCTAGAAATTTTCAAAGGACCCTTTGCTATTCACTTACTTTATCCTAGAGACATGAAATTTGGTACACTTGTAGAGCTCCCCAAGATGCTCAAAATTTACAATTAATGTCATAGTGCAAGTATCACAGGAAGTCAGCCATTTTGGATTGAAGGTCAAATTTTGAGCCCATTTTTGCCGTTTACAGCCTCCGTATTTGATCGAACTCCTCCTAGGGATTTTCATTGATCGGCTTCAAACTCGGTCAGTCTGTTAAGAAGGCATGTCCCATCTAAAGTTATCAAAACGGTGAGTTTTTGAGTATGCTGAAGGGGGTTAGCAGGGGTAAAAGTTCACCTACTCGCCATAAAAAAAGAAACTGCTATATCTCCTATACAGAAACTCACAGAGGCACCAAAGTTACTGTGATTGATCATCATCGGGTCTCCTAAAATATCCTATGGTCAAGTGATGACATCACTTAGGCCACGCCCCCTGAGAACAGGAAGTGTCATGTTTTACTGTCAACGGTCGCTATCTGACCCCTTTGACCTCATCAACTTGAAACTGTGCCCAGACACCGAAGACATGTTGGTGTATTGTGGACTCCAACCCCGACCAGCTTCAGTGCAGCAGGTGGGCGTGGCGGCGTGGCGAAGTGACCTGTAACGCCATCGCCATACGTTTGGCTC